AGCAGAGAGCGCTGGGGGAAGCAGGCCAGGCTATGAGAGACAAAGTTCCAGGCAGCATGCAGTGAGCCCCAGGCCCTGAAGATCATGGGTTATGGAGGTTGGAAAGGCCCTTAGAAGTTACCTAAGCCAAGCACCCTGCCCTCCTATTCCATTTTAAAAATGAGGCCCAGGGCAGCCCTGGTGGCACAGCGGTTTAGCGCCGCCTGCAGTCCAGGGTGTGATCCTGGAGACCCGGGATGGAGTCCCACGTCAGGCTCCCTGAATGGAGCCTGCTTCTCCCTCTGCCTGTGTCTCTGCCTCTCTCTCTGTGTGTGTGTCTCATGAATAAATAAATACAATCTTAAAAAGGGGGGGGGCGGGGACGACTGGGTGGCTCAGCGGTTGAGCATCTGCCTTTGGTTCAGAGCATGATCCCAGGGTTCTGGGATCGAGTCCCACATCTGGCTCCCTGCATGGAGCCTACTTCTCCCTCTGCCTGTGTCTCTGCCTTTCTCTATGTGTCTCTCATGAATAAATAAGATCTTTTAAAAAAAATAAAAAATAAATAAAAATAAAAATGAGGCCCAGTACAAGAAAGTGACCTAAAAGAAAGTATAATTTGTATTCCCCCTATCCTGGTGGAAAGGGCTGTTTCTTACATCCTCTGATTTGCAGGTCCTTAGAGATTGAGAGTGTAGGTGGAGGGGAGTCCTAAAGTAGGTGTGGAGGGGGAACAGGATGCTAGTTCAGGGCTTGGCACATAATATGCACTCAGTAAGTAAGTAAATAGTTGTGATTGATGTGTGGGATGTAGTGTAGTTTATAGTAGATCTAGAGCCAGTCAGACAAGTCTAAACTCTGGTTCTACCACTAACTGCTCTGTGCTTCAGAAAAATCCCTGATGCCCCCGCCAAACTTCAAACACACAAGTACCTGTGGTGGGCAGGAGTCTTCTTTACAAATACCGGAAGGCATACTCCTGCTAGCTTAAACCAAAAACAAAATTTCTAGCTCATAAGATGGGAAAGGCACTGTAGCAAAATCTGTGGCCTCGGGGCAAGACCCAGTGTCTCCAAGATTCTTGCTCCTTATCTTTGCCTAACTTTTGCAGATAGGCTCTGTCCATGTGATGGGAAAGGTGGCCATTTGCAGCCCAAACTCAGGCTTGGAGAGATGGCTTCTCTCTCTTAACATCAATATATCCATCTCAGAGAAGGCTTTGATTGGCCCTGCTTTGGCCCTAGCAAGACCTAGGTCACATGCCTGGTCCTGTGGTCGGGGGAAGTGGATGGTGTCACCAGGAGGAGGGGGATGGAAAAGCCAGGTGGGCAGACAAGACAATAATCACAGTACCTACAGTATGTAAAGACTGAGTACACACCCACGCATGCATGTCTGTGTGTGTTGGGGAGACTGAAGGCAGAAAGAGCCCCTGCAAAAGGAGCATGGAGGTGGGACCAAAACCAAGCTTGGCCTATTTATAGGATTATCATTAGGTACCAATCATTTGGCTCCACTCTATGTCAGGTTCCACATTAGGCTAAGTATGTTACATAAATCATTTCTCATTCTGACAATAACCCTAAGAAGTAAGTATCATTAGCCCCATTTTAGAAGTAAAGAGAGTTGCTGGAAGGGAGGTGGGTGGGGGATGGAGTAACTGGGTGATGGGCATTAAGTAGGGCACTTGATGTAATTGATGCACTGTGTATCACATGCAACTGACAAATCATTAAATTCTACCCTGGAAACTAAGGATAGAGTATATGTTAACTAAACTGAATTTAAATAAAGAATCTTGTAAAAAAAAAAGAGAGAGAGAGAGACAGACAGACAGACTTTAAGGACACACAGGCAGTGAGTAAACTGAGCCAGATTCAAACGTGGGTCCTTCAGACTCCAGAGCCCATGTTTTTGCCCAAGGTCAGGCTGTTTGCTTTAGAAACCAAAGCTGAGGGATCCCTGGGTGGCGCAGCGGTTTGGCGCCTGCCTTTGGCCCAGGGCGCGATCCTGGAGACCCGGGATCGAGTCCCACGTCGGGCTCCCGGTGCATGGAGCCTGCTTCTCCCTCTGCCTGTGTCTCTGCCTCTCTCTCTCTCTCTCTGTGACTATCATAAATAAAAAAAAAAAAAAAAAAAAAAAAAAAGAAACCAAAGCTGAAAGCGTGCGGGGTGGTTGCAGAGAGCACACTCTGAGCCCCAGCAGGTTGGTCTTGCCAGGGTGGGTAGCCCAACTTTCACGTATTTCCCAGCTGCATACTTCCTCTGCTCTGCATCCTACAGGCCCTTCTTGGCAAGTGGAGACAGGCAAACCACTTGTGGCAATACATGGGCTTCTTCACCAAATGGCATTTCTTCCAGACTTGATCCCCCAACTGTGTGTGACCCTGCCTGGAGTTTTCTAGAGTCTGGCCTGTTAGGTGAGAGGAAATGAGGCTGGGGTGTTTGGAGAGACACTGGCATGGCAAAAAATCAAAGGAGGTCATCTCTCATCTAAATCTTGGAAATATCTGCAGCCTCTAATTGTTCTCCCTGTCTCTGTGCTGTCTCTCCAACCCACTAGCACATTCCAGCTAGAGAGACCCTCCTAAAATATGTTTCTTCCTGCGCTTACCCCTGCTCTGAGCCTCAATGGCTCCCCTTTGCCCACACTCATTATGGAGCAGCTTCCCAAGCTGCTCCAGATGTAGTGCCCCCCCACAACTTCTCCAGATTTCTCTTTTACCACTACCCCTCACCCTTGGGAGTGCAAAAGACTTGGAACAGTAGGATGGCAACAAACCATATGTGGCAACTTTAATTTAATTAAATTCAATTGTGATGAAAAATTCAGTTCCTCAATTACACTAGTCACATTTCAAGGGCTCAATAACCTCTTGTGCTAGTGGCTACTGTACTGGACAATGAAGATATAGAATGTTCCTGTCATCACATAAATTTCTAAGTTGGACTTTTCTCTTACAAAGAAAGCTCTGATCAAGGAATGTTAACAGCTTTGGAGGAATCCAGGGTAGATCTGACTTATTCCATAACTTTTTTCTTTTTCTTTTTTTATGCAGTGACTCTTTTGACAAATATTTGGCACCTACTGTATTCCTGAATAAACAATAGCGGGCAGTAGTAGCTTGGTCCCTTCTTAGGAGTGAAAAGACAGTTGCTAGAAGGTGTCCCAAGTTTGGGGTGCCCAGGTTTGGGGATCTGGGAAGGCTTCCTGGAGCAGAGGACATCTAAATGTGACTAGACTACACTGAGTGGCTCTCTAGATGAAGCCTTTTAGGCCCTCAGAGGCCCTTACCACAGGCTGTTCCCACTGCCTGGACGGCTCTTCCTCTCTTTTTCCCAGGGAGGGAAGGACTGAGGCCAGTTCCTTAAAGACAGCCCTCCAGCAGGGACCAAGCAGAGTGTTCTGCCACTGACTAAGATCTCTGTGCTGTGACCTCTGCTCCCCGCGCAGGCCAGCCGGCTTTGGGGCTACACAAATTCAGGGCTAGGAGAAGTGGGCCCTGGGGTAGAAGGCTCAGGAAGTCAAAGCTGAAAATCTGGTGGGAGATGAGAGACTAAGACTGAACCCGGAGGCCAACACAAAGGTTGGGCTCTCCACGCTCTCCAACCAGTCGCGGAGTCCTGGCCTGGCTCAGGCTGGGGCCAGTGCGGAGGGGACAGGCCACGCCCACCTGGGGCGGAGGAGGCCGCCTGGGCTCGCCTGTCCCTACCCGCCGCTCCGGCCGCAGCCCCACATCACACAGCTCTGCCCGCGCTGGCCTGGCCCGGGGCCACCTGCCCACGCTGCTCTTCTCCCCGGTGGCCTGGCCTGAAACGACCCCCCTGCTGGACGTGGACGTGGCAGGCATGGACCCCAATTCCCGGGCGCTGGTCTGGGAGAGGGCGTGAGGCCCTGCAGCGTCCGGAGCTCGCCTCCCCGAAGCCTCCTCCCCCGGGGACAGTTGCGGGGGGACCAGGATCTCCGCTCTTCTTCGGAAATTAGGGAGAGGGTAGTGTCAGGGCCGGCAGCGCCCGGCACGGCGCCAACGCCCCACCGCCCGGCCTGGCCCCGCGTCGCGCTTGCACCTCACGGCGCGCGCCGCAGCCCTCGCCCCGTCCCGCGCGCTCCCGTCGGGGCCTCCGCACCCTCCGGCGGCGCCTGCTTCCCAGAGCCCGGGGCCGGCGGGAGGCGGGAGGCGGGAGGCGGGGCCGGGGGGGAGGGCTGGAGGCAGGGGGTCCGGCCCCCCGGGCCAGCCCGAGCGCCCGGCGGTCGCAGAGACGCCCTTTGTCTGGCGGCGCCCGCTCGGGGCTTCTGCGCAGTCACGGTCACATGGCGCTTCCGGCACGGGGTGTTCCGGGCGCCGCGCCAGGGCCTGGGGGCGCCCCCGCGTCCCCTCCGCGCGCCCCCCTCCCCGCGCGCCCCCCTCCCGCGCGCCCCCCTCCCCGCGCCCCCCGCCGGCCGCCCGCGGATCTCGGACCCCCAGGCGCCCGGAGCCGGGCTGGACCCTGGTCGCCGCGGGCCGCCGGCAGCTCTGCTCCCTGGCCTCTTGTCTTCCCTGAGCTCCACCCTTGGGCCCTCTGAGGCTTTTCATCTTAGGACTGGCGTGTCCAACACCCAGCTGCCGCCTGGGGTCCGCCTGTCTCCCCTACTCTAGGCAACACCACGTGAGCAAGACCTGGCTCACCCCTCCGCGGGGCAACACGATACGGCAAATGGGTGGGGGGCAAGTACTTAATTTTAAGTCCGTTCTTACCACTGAGTGTGGGGCGTGGGGCGTGGGGCGGTGGAGGCAGCGCCAAGCCTTTCCCACCCTTCCCCCACCCCGACCCCCCACAAACAAAATAAAACAAAACCCTGCCGCCCCAGGCTGGCCTCCACCCAATCAGGGACAGAAATGGGGCTGGCCCTTCCTGCCCTGGCCTGGCCCCCACTGCTCCATCACTCCCAGACCCAGTCTGTACCCTGGGACACCTAAGGATTTCGGAGCTTCAGGAAGGCCTGACTGGGGCCACCTCTGCCTCGCTCAGCAGATTCAAGAATTCATTCAACAAGCATTTATTGAAAGCACACTGTGTACATCGCAACCCAAAATGCCAGCCCTGTGCTAAGCCCACGAGAGAATGTGAAAGGGTTCACTTTGTGTCCAAGCAGTACCCCTGGCTGGCCTCCTGAGGCTCAGCTTCCTGGAGGAGGCCCTTATCCAGAGCAGCTTGGGAGGCCCTAGTAAACAGGGCAACACAGCCATGAGTGGGGCCTGGGAATGGGGGCCTTGCCTGACCCCGGCTTCCAAGCCTTGGAGATACAGCAGGGAGGGGCAGTGAATATGGGGTGGGGGGCTCAGGGGTTCTTTCTGCTTCTGGGTAACCGTTCCCAAAGCCTCTCATTCAGGCCTGCAGGGACTGGGGCAAGGGAAGGGGAAGGCCTGGAGGGGTGGAGACCTGGGAGCGGTGAGGGGGAGACAGCCCGAGGTGGCGAGGGCAAAGAGCAGACTATGGGCCCAGAGGTGGGTGTGTATAATCTGCTGGGGCATCAGGGCGTGGTGGGGAAGAGCAGGCAGGTGAGCTGCCGGCTGCCGCTGTGTCTGTCCACAAGAGGCAGGGGGTGCTGTGAGTAGTGCTGGACCATGGCAGCCACAGAGGGGAACAGCTGGACAGGACAGAGGACATCGTTGAGCTCCCCCCTCCCAGAGCTTCAGGCTGGGGGAAACTTCCTGAAGGAACTGTGGGACTATGGGGAGGGGGCTTGCTGATATTTGGAAGTTCCATTGCCATTTTGTGCCCCATTCCAGGCCTCATGCAACTTTCTTGCAACTGCACCTGAGGGCGTGCTGTTAGCCAGGCTTCAGAGAGAAATAACTCTAGGGGTCTGTGTCTGCCCGGGTCCTCCAGCATGGTCACCTCAGCAAGTATCAGGCACAAAGTCGAGTCTTTGGCAGACAGGAGTCTGGACTTTCTGGGCCCTGCTCTCCTCCTAACTGGGTTCATGGCAGGCACAAATGCCTACCCCCCACCCCCCACCCCCACCACACCCCCCACCACCACCCCTGCCTATTCCTGGGCAGACTGAGCCCTGCAGAGGGAGTGTCTCTCCTACAGGAGAACCAACCTCGGGGAAGGAATTTAAGTCACTGGGCTCTGTCATTTCTACCCACTCAAGAAAAAAAATGCAAAATGTGATTTTTCTCCTGGGCAAATGCACCTGGCTGGACCCAGCACCCAGCTCTGCTGTGCCCTCTTGGCTGCTAGTCTCCATCCTCCTCCAGCACCTACCTCCTCGTGATTCCTGCCCTCCCGACCCAGGGCATAGTGGCTCCCGCCATCCAGCCGACGGATGGGAATGTTGAAAACCCGGCCATGCAGAAGCACTGCCAAGGTAAGGGGCTGGGAGCCCTGAGGCTCCGAGCTGGGGCGCACCGTGTAGGCCCCATCCTGTGGAGGAGACCCCATCCATTGACCTCATTCCCAACTGTATCCCTGCAGCCCTGACCCACAATGGCCAGCACGTCCCAATGCCCTCCCCACTCCAGCTGCTCAGTCAGCTGGAGCCCCTGAACAAAATGGTTTCCGAAGAGGCCTGGGGGGGGGGGCTGCAGTTGCCCACCTTTCGGAATCGGAGCAGGGCACTCTCAACAGCATGGCGGTCACAGTTTCCTGAGTACCAGGGCTGACCCAGCAGGCTGCCGTCCTGAACATACACACACAGCCATTCAGAGACGTGCCAGGGCACTGGAGGGGGGCTGGGGAACACAGAACCCTGGGCGGCAGTTATTTGTGGTCACATCTGCCTTCCCCAGACTGGGTCTGCGCAAGCAGAACAAAGATGCGGCTGTGCCTGGTGCCCAGCATAGTGCTGCACACACACGCTCATGTGTTCCTAGCCAATGGTGGACTCCAGCACAAGAGGGTTCCCTGTAGGCCTCCTCCCAGCCCTCTCCCTGCCCCTCTCCTCACCTCAGCAGCTGGGGTGCTCCAGGTGGGTGCTCTAGAGGAAAGAGAGGATCTCCTTCCTGCCAGAAGAAGCAGATTACAGAGTGGAGGCTGGGGGGGTGGGGTGGGATTAGGCAAAGAAGGCTTTGGGCCCAGCCTCAAAGGGGGGAGAGGTTAGAGGGTGATTCAGGTAGGCCTGAAGCCCAGAGCAGGGCCTAGTGCTTTACCCCTTCTCTCCAGGTCTCGGGCTCTGATGGGACCTACTAGCTAGGTCACATGTGACCTCCAGGTGGGGGATGATCTTGAGGTACAGGCTGGGAGTTTCCTACTTTGGTGTGGACCTTAAAATTGCCCAGTGGGATCCCCTCAGGCCTGCTCTCAGCTGAAGTCAGAGCTGCAAGGAATCCCACAGCAAAGTGGAGAATGAAGGGCTGGGGGCAGGGGGATTCTGTGGCCTACAGGGCTGTGGCCAGGGCAGGCTGCCAGGACGGCCTGGAGTCCATGCTCAAGATGCCTGTACTTACCTTTAGAGGTGGTATTCGCTGCTCCCTGGGACATAGGAAGGCTGGTCAGAAGAGACTCGGTCCCGTAGGCCCAACCCTGGGCCCATATTCCCTCCCTGAGCCTCCTACCCCCCACCCCAGGTCACTTCTCCCCTGGCTGCTAGCCTCTTACATTCCGAGCTTCCTGGGGGGCTACAGTGGGCCTGTGGGGGCAAGTTGGGAAAGAGAGCTCAGATTTTACCTCCTTTAAGAGAAAGAGCCCAGTGAACCCAGAGATCGCAGGGTCAGAGCTGGGAAAGACACACACACACACACACACACACACACACACACACACCCTGGTGGGCACTCACTTGGGCACCGCTGATATCCTTGGCAGTGAGATTGGCGGCATCAGGACTTGGGAGCTCGGAGTCTGAGTCAGGGCCAGGACTAAAACAGTGAGGGCAGGCTGGGCTGAGCCACGCACCAGGCAGGGACATCCATGCTGACCAGGGAGGGATGCAGATGCCTGCAGGGCCTGCTGCTTCTCAGCAGCCTGGGCTCTTGGGGAGTCCTTCTAACCAGAAGGAGTGCTGTCCTGCCAGAACAGCTGGGAAGCCCCATGCAGCCCTTGCTTTAAGTGGTCCCCCCTACTGTGCACAGTGGCGGTCAACCTGGACCAAAGGCTAAAGGGTGTCTGAAGGCAAATGTGTATTGGTGGAGTAGTGAGAGAAGCCAAGGGAAGAAGATAGAGCCAGAATGTGTCCTGTTTTGAGCAGCCGAGGGCCTCAGGGCAGGAGGGATCTGGGATTGAGGGAGGTGTTCACCTGGACTGGGCTCACACTCCAGGTAGAGATCCTCATCAGATTTCTTTGGAAGACCTGGCACCTAAGGGTTTGACCAGTGAGTAGGAGGGAGGATGAAGCCATCACCGGTGTGTGTGGGGAGGGGAGGTGGGATGTGGGGGGACAACTCCCACCCCCCTCACAAGGTGGACCTTTTTCTGAGAGCTAGCTAGAATGATTGAAGTTACTCCTTTGTCTGGGAAGGAGCACCCATAGGCAGCTTCCCCTTCAGAGGTGCCTGTGGGCCCTGGCTCTCCTAGAATGTGGGTGTCCAGGAGGAGCTCTGGGCAAACTCCTTCCCCAAGAGCACTGGGCAGCACAGGACAGCTGGCTTACACCCTGTCAGGGGCCTCGGGCAAACAGGAAGCTACTGACTCTGCTCTGAGCCTTTTTCCTTGGTTTCATGGATATTTCCTGGCCCTCCCAGGCCCCCTACCCTAATACTGCCAACTTCCTAGCCAGAACTCTAGAGGGTGAATGGGGATGGAGAGGTCACTCACCACTCTGGCAGGTGCAGCCAGCTCTGGAAGGAAAAGGAGAAACCACCAGTCATAAGCACAGGGAGAAAGGAATTCAATGAAACTCAGGCTGGAAGAGTGGAGTGTCCTCGGGACTTGTCTGAGAGGATCCTCAGAGCCAGCTTTGAAGCTCCAGGAGAAAGCCACCCTGAGCTCCGACCACCCCCTACTTCTCACAACCCCCGGGGTGTTGCTCAACTTGACTTCCTGAATGATTTGCCAGGCTTGCTCCAAATGACTTCGGGCTGTTTCAAAAATCAAAACCACCCTCGAGGTCATGAAGGTTTACCAACCACTGAGCACAGTAAACATGAAAGTGCCTCAGGTTGGCTGTTTGACCTTAGAGAGAGATTGTCCTTCCTGGGCCATTTTCAGATGAAAACATGCTTGCTGATGTCACTATCCCGACATCCCAGGGTTCTGGGTTCACAGGCCTCAGGGCCCTCTGCACAGGCAGTCTCTGGACAGTGATAGCAATTATGACATGATGGAAACCGAGACTCATGGCCAAAGGGCCTCTTTGATTGGGGATGACACTCAGATGGGCTTCAATAGTGAGGGTCCTCCAGGCGGGCAAGGCTGCCCTTCAGATCTCCTCATCCCGGAGCACTCCTTGCCTGGCACTGGGATGGCAGCAGACGCAGAAGAGGAGCTGGGATTCGGGGCTCTGCTTCTTTGTGATCTTAGGCAAAGCATTTCTGGGCTCCTGTCCTCAGTCTGCTCCTGAACTGCCTGCCTTAGCAGACTCAGCAGGTAAAAATGAGGACCCACAGGGGGTGGGGTGCAGTGCAGGACCAGGCAAAGTGGGAAACCAAGTAACCTGAGCTCAAGTCTACCCAGAGGGGGCCAGGATTCCTCACCTCAGGGGGGAGACAGAGCAGGCCTCTGAAAGAGGCAGGACATCCTTCTCACCTTGCTTCCCGAAGGCGAAGGGCTGTCCCTGCTTCCTCGCCTCCCACAGACTCTGTGCTCCCTTCAGCTGTGGGCACAAGGGGGCGGAGAAGGAGGACAGGGTTGGCGGTGGGGGTAGGGAGGGGAACTGAGACAGGGGAAGGGCGAGGATGGCGGGCTGGGGTGCAGCGAGTTGTATTTATCTGTGTCGCCTGAAACCACTACAGCAAAGAGCTAATGGACAGAGGTGACTCGTTGCCTCTCTTCTTCAGCTCTTCCTTTGTTGTGAATCTCTGCCTGTTTTTCTTTTTATTCCAATAAGATCTATGATGAAAGTGGTAACTTCCGAGACCGTAAGCTTTTCTCAGCACAGCAGGCCTTTCGAGCTGGCACTGATGGCAGCACAGTGAGGGATTTCTTCACTCTCTAGGGAGGGGTCCCCAGGCTCCAGGGAGCGATGGCTGAGCCTGTCCGGCCTTCTCCAGCTCCAGAGGAGGGGTGAGTCCTGGGGGACGCTGACATGCGGGGGTGGGGGGCAGGGAGGGCCAGCCAGGCAGGTGGGAGCTAACAGGGCTCCACTTCTGACACATATAATTTTGGGGGGGCTCTTGATTGCAGATATGGGGGAATCTTGTAAATGAGATGCTTCTTCGATTTACTCCTTGGGAAATGGTGTCCGGGGTGGGGTTAATGGGGAAAGAGGGACTTGAGGGGGTTGCTGTTCACCATTGTGGCCTGGGACTTCGGTGGCGGTGACTTGCACAGGCCCAGAGGGCCAGGGTGATCTGGAAAAGGCCCCAAGAATCATGAGTCGGTGGATTCCTCCCACATAGGTTCCAATCTCCCCCCTCCCCCCCACCTAGCCTGTTTCTTTCTCCCCCCTTCCCCTCACTGGCTTCCCCACAGCCCTGTCTCCATGGCAACTGGAGCAGGCCAGTGCTCCTGCCCCCACCTGGCCTAGCGGAGGAGCCCTGGGGGTGGGATGCTAGCAGCAGCCAGGCTCTCCTGGCATCCCTGCCCTTGCTTGAAGAAGTGAGCGATCTCAGAGGAGGCCCCAGGGACCCTGTGGGGCCTCCTGCTTTCCCACTGTTGCCTTGGTGACAGTGCCCCTCTCCCCTTCCCTCTCTTCCTCCTGCCTTTCTCCCTCCTCCCTCTGCCTCTCCTTCATCTCTCTCTCTCTCTCTCTCTCTCTCTCTCTCTCTCTCTCTCTCTGCCCAGCCCAGAAGCTTCCACAGCTGACAGCTGAGGCCTCCCCTTGCCGCCCCAGTACAGACAAAGGGAGAAGAGGCAAGGCCTGCACCCTCTTTCCTTGCGGGGATCCTCTGTCCCGCCTCACCAGTCAGCTCCCTGCTTCACCTCTCCAGGCCTCACCCAAGTACAAAGAGTCCTCCTTGGTGCCGGGAAGGTGGGCAGGAGCAAAACTGAACGGCAGAGCCTCACAGGGGGGCGGCTCGTATTTATCTTCCTCCTCCTCCTCCTCCTGAGCTTTCTGGAAGGAATAGGAGAGGGGCAGGCACAGTGGTAGCCACGTGGCCCGCCTCCCTCCACCCTAGGCTCAGCAGCAGCACTTACCTCACATCTCCAGGTCCCTGGCGCAGGCAGAGGAGAGGGGATGGGGGCATCTTTGTTCCAAGGTGGGGAATCTGGACAGGGGACTGATGAGACTGGCCTCCCCTTCCAGCGCCCTCCAGCCCCCAGTGACGTATTCACTTTCCCCAGTATGAAAAACCATCTGCACTTTTACAGTGGGCCTCACTGCTTCATCCAACTCAAAGGAATTATTCGTGATGAGCCTTTCCAGCACTGTAGCAGGGCCAGTGAGGTAGGCATTTTGAAAACAAAGGGGCCTCCCAGCTAAGGGCCTGTTCCACCTATGACAGACCACCCCACCACGTGCACCGCAAATTCTGAGCAAGACAGGTGGAAGAGCTAGGCCCTGGTGACTTAGCAGTATCTGGGTTCTGATGGACAGGAGAGGTCCAGAGCCACATGGAGGAGAATTTATGTGCAGGGGACCCCATTCTTCTGGGCTCCTCTTGCCCACTATCACTTACCTACACATCTGGGGGGTGGAAGGGGTGGCCCCAACCTGCAACCAGACTCTAGTCAACTCTGTGCAAGAGGCCTTAGAGTTTGTGTCAGCCAGACACTACACAACTCCCAGGACATCCATGACTATGTGAATGGTACCCCCCCACCCCTGCTCGGGGGAGTTGTGTGACAGTCACCTGGGACCAAGGCAGCAGGAAGAACAGTCTGGAGGCAGAGCTAGTACCTGGTGGGTACACAGCTGGAGGAGTTGGTGCCTTAACAAAACTGGTAGTGGGGGAGCACTAGTGCTCCCAGTGGAGCAGAGGTATGTGAAGGTCTCACTGGGCCAGTAGGGGTGTACCCAGGAAAGGGGCAGTGAAGTAGAGACAAGAGAGGAGGCAGAGGAAAGAGAGGAGCCTGAGTACTCACCGGAGCTTGCTTCCCCTGAGCTTGTCCTGGAAAGAATCAGGAAGGGGCGTTAAGGGGTAGTCAATGCAGATAGGATACCTCTCCCTGGGAAGAGTCCCAGGCCCCCAAGGGAGGGCAGGTCTGTGTACCCCGGGCTGCCCCAGAACCAACTCTCACCATGACCAAGCTGAAGGAGCTATGATTCCTGTGAGCCTAGGCTCTACCACAAATAGCCTAGGGGACAGAGGCCCTATTATTCTCATCATTTGCATCTCACAAGCACCAGGAAGATGGGTCTGCTGTGGCCTCTAACCTCAGACCAAGTTGCCCCAGGAGGTTCCTGTACCCTCCCCACACTGCCTTCCACAGCTGTGGTCCCAGTCTCCAGCCCCTCTGATCCACTGAAGGAAGAGCTTTCCCCTCTGCTCCAGGGCCTCAGGCCCACAAGGCTGGGCCGGTGCTCAGAGGCTTCCTGCAGCTCTCTGATCAATGCTTCCTCTTCCAGGGACTCCAACTCACCCCAGGATCAGCCAGCCTGTCCTTTCCCAACTCACAGAACACATGACATTAATGGGCAAATCTAGTTGAAAATGAGAGATTCTCCTTGCACTTTTCTTAAATGCTTTATGCTTGCTATCTTCCCCTGGTGAACGATGATCAAAGAAATAGAAGTTAGTGAAAAGCTCAGAAATATGCATATGTATTTAGTTCGACGGGTTCCTTTTTTCCTTTTGATGTATTTATTCATTGAGTAAATATTTATCGAACATCCTCTATATGCCAGGCACTGTTCCAGGTGCTGAAGATGTTGTAGAAAAACCAAAGAAGGAAGTATGTGTATTTCCTGCTGGATTCTCACAATAGCCTCATGATGCAAATGCCAGTTTTATCCTTGCTTTTCAGATGAGAGAACTAAGTGTATTAGATTAGGCTACCGTCACAGAATACCACAGGATGGGATGGCTTGAACAACAGAAATTTATTTTCTCACTGTTCTGGAGGCTAGAAGCCCAAGATCAGTATGCCATCAGGGTGAGTTTCTGGGGAGAAGTCTCTTCCTGGCTTGCAGACAGTCAGCTTCTTGCTGTATCCTCACATGGCCTATGCTCTGTGCATAAATGGAGAGAGACACTCTCATCTCTTCTTAAAAGAATACCAGTCTTATTGAATCAGGGCTCCACCTTTATGACCTCATTTAACCTTAATTACCTCCCTAAAGATCCTGTTTTCAAATCCAGTCACACTGGGGATTAGAGCTTCGTATGAGTGGAGGATGGGCACAATTCAGTCCAGAGGTTAGAGGCTTTGAGAAATTGAATGACTTTCCCAAGGTCAGACAATTAGTAAGTATTAGAGGTGGGGTTCAACCCAAGGTGTGCCCATCCCAGAGCCTGTGCACTGACCATTGGACAATCCTGTATCTCATCTAGGGTTGAGTCCTTACCCTTCTCTCCTATGATGGAATTAGACACAGCAGTAAACGTGACCTCCATAAGGAGCCCATCCATGACTTCCAGGTGTTCTGTTACTTGAGTGAATTTTGGGACTGTAATATCTGAGAAGTTTGGGGGTAAAAAAAAAAAAGGCCTGGTGTCTGACTTTGTTTAAACGAAGGATTGATGGGGCACTTGGGTGGCTCAGTCAGTTAGGTGGCTGCCTCAGACTCAGGTCATGATCCCACAGTCCTGGGATGGAGCTTCACTTCAGGCTCCCTGCTCAGTGGGGAGCCTGCCTCTCCTTCTCCCTCTGCCTGCTGCTCCCCCAGCTTGTGCTAGTGTGCTCTTTTGCTCTCTCTCTCTGTCAAAAAAATAAAATCTTTTTTAAAATAATAATAATAAAAAATAAACCAGGGACTGAGGAAACAGAGATGAGGATCGTGAACATAAGATGGAACTTTCTTATGTTTGTTATTTTGGTGATGTCTTGGCTGTTGGCAGAAAGGAGAAGTGAAGTCCATCTTTGAAGACTATGGGGCTAGGACACTAGGGAGAGAGTGCCAGGGTTGGAGCTGGCCACAGTCTTCAGAGAGAAAGGACCGGATGATTCCTGGGACCTGCAAGCCAACGTGCATTTAAGAAGCTATGAAAAATCACTGGGGTTCCTAAACAGGGAGCCCATGTGGTAGAGTGGGAAAAACTGAGAAAAACGAAAACAAAGAATCCAGGCCTGGCTCAGGGACTGGAGTCTCCTCCCTGACCACCTCTCCCCATTTGACCTTTGTTCCATGTTTGGACCCTAATGCAGAGGGCAGGCTCCCTTACCGAGGGGTCCCCCTCTTGGTCAGGGTCAGCAGGTCAAAGTCAGCAGGAAACTCTAGACACCACCCCACTGAAAACCCAAACTGAGTGGGTTTCCTGTCAGTATTGCCCCCCGCCCCCCGCCCCACCTTCAGGGCTTTGCATAGGCAAATTCTAGGACCTGGGTGAGTGAAATGGGCCCCAGGGCACAGAGGATGGAATTGTGCCATCTGGTTGGGGCACTGGCCTGGACAGATCCAGGAGCAGGGGGTGAAGGAGGCCTGCTTCATGGCTTCATCTGGCTATCTGTCTGTGGGGTGAGGACTATGCCTCTTACTAATTACACAGGCAGATTTGGACAACCTCTTTCTCCTCTGGCACAGGATTGCTCTGTGCATAACCATAGCTATTCCCTCAGGATGAATTCCTAGATGTGGAATTGCTGGAAGCTCACATTTTGGTTGCAAGGCTCCATTGTCAGCAGCTGAGAGCCTATTTTAAGGCCCTTCCATGGCGCTCAGTGATTCTCCCCATTTTCAGGGCCCTAGCTACTGATCTCCAATGAGAACAGGCTGTAATTTGCAGGCCCAGGATAGTCTAAATCCACCCTAAGAAAACAGCTCTCTACAGCAGTGTTCCCCCTATTTGCATGATCACAACAAATGCTGGAGAGCTTGTTAAAAGACCTTGTTTCCAGACCTTCCTTCTGATCTTAAGGATTGGCTGCTCTAGGAGGGAATTGAGACTCTGTATTATTACTATTATCATTTTAAAGATTTATTTATTTGAGAGAGAGAGAAAGAGCATACACGTGCAAGCAGTGCAGAGGAGCAGAGGGAGAGAAGCAGATTCTGCCGAGTGCGGAGCCTATCGCAGGGCTTGATCTCATGACCCTTGAGATCGTGACCTGAGCCGAAACCAAGAGTGGGACGCTTAACTGGCTGAGCCATCCAGGTGCCCCCAGGACTCTGTATTACTTTTAACAAACATCCTAGATCAATTTTATGATCGGTTTTGGGAAATGCTGTTCTACAGAAAACAGTCTGAGAACATGTGACTTCCAGGACATTTTTAGAGTCACATATTGGGGGTACCTGGATGGCTCAATTGGTTAAGTGTCTGCCTCGGTCTCAGGTCATGACCCTGGGTTCTGGGATGGAGCCTTATTTAGGGCTCCCAGCTCAGGGGGGGGGGGCTGCTTCTCCCTCTCCCTGTGCCCCTCCCTCTGTCTCTCCCTCTGCCCTTCCCCCGCCTTTCCCCCTGCTCCTGTGTGCTCTCTCAAATCGATAAATAAAAGTCTTAAAAAAAAAAAAAGAATCACATATGGACTTTTGCTTGTTCAGAACACAGGAGTCCCCTGCAGAGGAAGAACATGACGCAGACTTTGCCCTCAAAGGGCCCCTACTGAGTGATGGAGAGGGCACACCCAGGGAGATGTTCAATCTCTGAGTTTCGGTTTCCTCTTGAGTAAACTGGCCATGTCAGTAGGCATTCCTTTCGTGGAGGAGCTCCTGAGGGTCGAATGTGGTGATGGAACAAGGAACACACAGCACCCACATGATACATGTCCCTGAGACAGTGGTGCCGTGTTTGATGTGGTTGTTGCCAGCAGACAGGGCAGGTGGTGAGATCTAGCCAGGATCCATGGTGTAGCGAAGTGGGCAGCACTCTGAGGAGGAAGGGGGTGGCTTTCAAGGACCAGGAGGAAGACAGTAAGCAGGCTGTGGCCAGAGGTCTCAGGGGTGAGGGAGTGCAGCATGTGGCACAGGAGCTGCTGAGATGGGGGTGGCAGGACTCCTGGAGCATGCAAGGGGACATGTGCCATTCTTTCCAGCTGGTGAGCATGTCCTGCATTTGGGGCATTCTCCATCTTACGAATCCTGATTCCATCCAGAGGAGCCCCATGAGGCCTTCCCAGCGTCCCTTGAAGCTGGAGTGCAGGTGTTTGGCCAGTCACACGCCCCCATGTCAGACTTCCTATCTGAAGCAGGTACCAAGAAGAACCTGCTCTGAGGAGGGGATGACAGCTCTATCCTATCTCCAGAAGCTAGAGGTTGAGACCCTAGTGGTACCCCAGGGACCAGGGTAGCAGTGCTGGCAAACACTGGTGTCTGCATCAAGAGGTGCCTCCACTAGGCCAACTTGGCTGTGACCTTTGGGACACTGCTCCTGGGTGTTTCTCTGGTCCTCCTGGAGATGCTGTGAGCTGCAAAATATTATTTATTTATTTATTTATTTATTTATTTATTTATTTATTTATTTTTGTATTATTGTTTTCACAGAATATTTTTAATAAATTATTTTTCAGCCTAAACTAGCTAGGGTGGATTTGTCTTACCTTCACTTAAGAACTCTATGAGTTGGGGGCACCTGGGTGGCTCAGTGGTTGAGCATCTGCTTTGGGTCAGGTCATGATTCCGGGGTCCTGGGATCGAGTCCCCACATCAGGCTCCCTACATGGAGCCTATTCTCCTTCTGCCTATGTCTCTGCCTCTCTCTGTGTGTCTCTCGTAAATAAATAAATAAAATATTTAAAAAAAGAACTCTTAAGAGTTGAGACTACTGAAGACCAAACTGTGAAGCCAGATATGGGTGGCTCCTAGAAAGGTGAGACCAAGTAGAAAGAAGTGTCTTAGCTTTATCTTTCCATCTTCTTGAGATTGTTTTTATGACAAGTATTAATTTTTTTATCATTAAAAAGATCAGCCAATACAAATGTAAACAACAATAGAAGAATGAAGGGAGGGAAGTGGGGGAGGAGTAACCAGGATTTCAAATGTCAGGAGGTATTTGGGGGAAAGAAGCACTTGGGAAAGGCAGGGCCCTGGGGGTGGCCAAGGGGAGGTTGGGTATGGTGTCACCTCAGGACAGTCAGCTTTCCCTTAGCCAGGAAAGTACTGGGAAAGGTGGAAAAAACCCAAAAGGTGTTGATAACGTAGGAATTCTTCTCCCAAGGAAATGGGAATCCATAGGGGCAAGCAGAAGTGGGTGGGGGGGGGTGTGAGTAGATAGTAGAACTTTGTGAACATTGGGTTAGAGCCAAGTCTGTGGCGTGGGATGGCCCAAACACACAGGGCTGGGAAGGGGAGACCTGGAAGTCATAAACAAGGTCCTGTGAGGGGTCAGGGATAATGAGTTCTCATGATATTTTTACCTGAGCAGATGGAGCCTGAGGCCAGTGGAACTCTGTGGTTGGGTTAGAGCAAATGTCAGGGACCTCGCCCTCTCCCTAAAAGTGATACCAAATTGGGTGTGTAGGAGGATGTCTCTGTGTTTTCCTGGAGGCCCAGAACACTAGCTGCCCTCAGATTTTCCAAGGGTTAGGGTGGGGGCTGACAATTGACCCCAGCTTTCTTGGTCCCTGGGGTAAGGAGCACAAGTTGGGACCACCCTGCTTCTGCTTGGCCCTGGTGGGCCTGTCCCACACCCCCTGTCCTTCCCTCTTCCGGAACCTTTGCTCAAGCAGATGTTGTCATGCCACAGCTCTGCCTAAAACCCACGAGTGACTCCCCCTGGCTCCTCGAATGAAGACCAAATGCTTCTGGTTGCCCTGTAAGTTCAGGCACATACCTGTTTCCATTCTCCCCACGGACTCACACTCGCCCTCTCTCTGAGGTTACACACCATGAGGAGTGTTGCCCCTCTGCACCCTGTTGACTTCAGGAAATTTCAGTTGGAAGAAATTTAGATCTTTACTCAGTCCTTAGAGAATAACAGAGGGAGGGCACTCTGAATGCATAGTGAAACACAGTAAAAAGGACTCTTCTCAATGTGTGTAATACTTCCAAAAAATTTTACCCCGCCCCCCCATCCACTTTCTTCAGCTCTGCAAGTGGCAACACTGTCTTCACAGATGGTGGAGGCACATGCTCCTTCCCTAAACCGCAGCCCTCTCCCCTCCACCAAGGCCTGATTATGCAAATCACCTTAACTTCTTAAGCTATCCTTAAACTTGATCCATTAGCCCACTGCCCATATTCTAGAAGGAGCACCTGCATAGGGAGCCCAGGAAGTGTCCCAGGATTTGAGAAGCCTGGGTAAAGTGGGGGTGGGAGGTAGGATGGTTGCAAACATAATGTTACATTGCTTTTTTCATCCCTTTCTGGCCTCAAACGGGCTCCTTTTCTGGAAGCTGCACATTTGCCATTCTTTTGCTGAAACACTCTGGCCCCTTTCTTCCTCTTTCCCCATATAAGCCACAGCTTATATGACCCTCAGCAGGGGTCCCAGACCAGGGCACTCTGTCTCCCTCAACGACACATTCTCTCTTGTGGCTCCCACATAATATTTCAGAGCTAGACTATAGACTCCCACTCCACTGTAAGCACTCTAAATGGGGAGCGACTATGTCTGTTCAGTCCAAGGCCCAATTCCAAGTGCCCAGCCCACAGCTTGGCACACAGCAGGCTCTTAACAAATATTTGTTGTAGGTACATATTCAAATCTCACTCAAAGCCTGCCTTTCTGTGAGCACCTACTATGAGCTAGGCACTGGCCCTAACATTGGAAATACTGCACAGAATGGCAGAAAAAACAAAATCTCTGCCTGTTGGAGCCTACATTCTATCAGGAGAGACAATAAATAACTAAGAATTTAAAACAAAACAAAAAAAATGTGTCTCTGCAAACATCTTTGGTGTCTCTCTCCTTAAAGGCCATAGCTTGTTTCTTTACGCCCATCAGATACCAGCCACTAGGTCTAGCCCGAGCGCCTGAGGCCTGCAGACAACTCCCTTCCCTAAATGCAGGTGGGTTACCCAGAGGACTTCTCTGGGTATCTGTGACTGACGGTGCCCTTACCCTACTCGGTCCTTTCTTCTGAGTGTGTGTGGAGGTATCTATCCACCCCCCCTGCATCTTCTCATTCCTCCACCTCCACCCCTCTGGACAGATGAAATATGGCCCCACTTAGGTCTCCCTCTTCAGCTCTGAGCCAGAGCCAGAGCCAGATATCTGCTATTCCCAGAACTTCCTTGTTCCTTCTCGGTGAGCCGAGAGATCATGGAGAACCGGCCTGGCTTTTTACCTCCCTCTCGGAGACTCCAGGCACTGCCGCTAGCCGGAAGTGTCTCCATCCCCACATCCTTCCTTGATGGGCGTGGAGGGCCCAGAGACCACCCTCCCCATCTTTACCAACGGAAAAATTGAGACTCAAACAGAAATGGACGCTGGGCCTTGGGCCAGGGCCATGCACTGGTATACGCAGGACTAGAGTCCTCGTCCGCTCACCCGGTCCGGTCCGCTACAGGGACCACAGCAGTAGTTCTACGGGGAAGGGCGACCCCTGGTGGTGAGGAGAAGCGTGGCTGCCAGTCCTCCTCTCCGGGACCGGCCGACGGAGGAAGGGGCGTGGCCCGCAGGACCGCGGACTAAGGTCTACCACCTGCTGTTGATGCGAGGACCTTGCTTTGAAACTGGGCAGAAATCTGTGAAGCCCTATACAAATGCAAGATTTTAAAAGTATGTACGAATAAGATGGAAGGTGTTATTAGAACAAGGAGTTTTGGGGCACCTGGTGGCTCAGGTGGTTAAGTGTCTGCCTTTGGCTCAGGTCATGATCCCAGGGTCCTGGGATAGAGGCTCCCTGCTCAGCGGAGTCTGCTTCTCCCTCTGCCTCTGCCCCTTTCCCTGGCTTACGTGCTCTCTGTCTCTCTCAAATAAATAAAAACTTAAAAAAAAACCCAATGAGTTTCTGTTTATGATTTTTTTTTTTTAAGTAGTCTCTACACTCAACGCTGGGCTGGAACTTAGCCCCAAGATCAAGAGTCATATGCTCTACTAACTGAGCCAGCCAGGTACCCCTCTGTTTATTCTTTTAAATGATGGTTTTAACCATCTTTTACTTAAAACATTCACGTGCCAAGGATAACTCTGTCAAAATATGAATCTTGCAGTTGCTTTGAGATGTGTAACCAGGATAAGTATGGGTACTTTCATGTATAAAATACGTATGGTCCTGAGTCGCTCCCATGGCCCTGAAGGGGGAAGAACCCAACCTTGGGTGCCCCTTACACTTAGCCACATTCCCTATAATGATCTAGTTAACACTGTCCTGGACATTACCTGTACCCAGTCAGCTGGATCTCAGGAAATAGGGATAGGCACTAAATAGCTTTTGGTACATCACAGCCAAGTGACACAGGCTCTGATTCAAGAGTCCAGTGCTCAGCCTCGGAATGCAGAAATCACTGTTACAGGAGAGAATGGGCTCTTATTAGAGAATCCAGGGACTGGGGCAAGGCTGTCTCCAAGTTTCTTTTTTTTTTTTAAGATTTTATTTATTATTTATTCATGAGAGACACACACAGATATAGAAAGAGAGAGAGGCACAGGCAGAGGGAGAAGCAGGCTCCACGCAGGGAGCCTGACGCAGGACTTGATCCTGGGACCCCAGGATCATGCCCTGGGCCGAAGGTGGTGCTACACTGCTGAGCCAGCTGGGCTGCCCTGTCTCCAAGTTTCTTTTTCTTTTTTTTTATTTATTTATGATAGTCATACAGAGAGAGAGAGAGAGAGACAGAGACAGAGACACAGGCAGAGGGAGAAGCAGGCTCCATGCACCGGGAGCCCGACATGGGATTCGATCCTGGGTCTCCAGGATCGCGCCCTGGGCCAAAGGCAGGCGCTAAACCGCTGCGCCATCCAGGGACCCCTGTCTCCAAGTTTCTATCTATCTCTTTTCTCTAGGCCCAGAGGGACACCTCAACAAAAAGCTGGTTGTCTTAAGGAGAGTACTTGGATGGGATGCCTGGGTGGCTCAGCGGTTGAGCGGTTGATCACACCTTGAGCTCAGGACATAATGCCTGGATGGAATCCCATATTGGGCTTCCAGCATGGAGCCTGCTTCTCCCTCTGCCTATGTCTCTGCCTCTCTCTCTCTCTCTCTCTCTCTCTCTCTCTCTGTGTGTGTGTGTGTGTCTCATGAAGAAATAAATAAAATCTTTAAAAAAAAAAGTACTTGGAAAATCAGGCCTATGAGAACTTCCCAGACAGAAATGGGTATGCTGAAAGACCACCTAACTAAATAGTTAATATGCACCCCCACTCCTGCTACCAAGGGAACTTGGGTGATCTACTTTGAATATCATTTCTGAAGTTGTCTCTAATTGTTCCAAAACTAAATGGAATATTTCTAGGAAACAGCTGGTCTTGACCTAACCACAGAAGAATACAATCTCACTGACATTACAGAGTCATGGCTATACC